ATTAAAAGAGAGAAAGAGCTGGTTTGCATTCATTATTTGCACGCCTGATTTGATTCTATCAAACAATTAGACAATGAGCCCGAGATTTCTATCGCATGATAGTTGCACGCATAGAAATCGAGAGCGAATAACGTAATTGTTTTGGTATAAACCTACTAGTCGTTCAAAACTTCATCTAAATCCTCTTCACAGACACCTCGCAAACGCAAAGAAGCGGCCATCATTTTGTTAACAAGCGCTCACTGCTAGGCTACTCACTATCTACAACAGAATAGATAGTGAGTAGCGCAGCCAATCAGAGAACGACATTTCTGATAGAAGTAGATTTATACTAAATTTTCTTAGAGAATTCTTTCCTTTCTTATCAGAGACAAAGCTATTCGACCGGAGTGTTATGGCCTACTCTGTACAAAGAAAATAATATTAAAATGACCTTCAGACAATCACGCAGATACAAACGGGTTGTTAGTACCAAATGCGAGGTTAAAATCGGTAAATTGTCCGTCAATGCTTTCATTTCTTCGTACCAAAAGTGACTTAGTTCCTTAACCCGAGCCGAACAAAAACTTTGGAACAAACCACTGATCGTAGAAATATATACAGGACACGTGTTGCATATGAACCTAGTGCGAATCTCTCCGTAGCCTGGTTAGGGTACCCGAACAGTATCTGCGAGGTCAGCGGTTCACCGACGGAATCTCCTGGATGACTCAGAATCCTCTNTTGTTGTAAGGGGAGGGGAATAAATTTGGTTCATTAAAAGAGAGAAAGAGCTGGTTTGCATTCATTATTTACACGCCTGATTTGATTCTGTTAAGCAATTAGATTATGAGAGAGAAAGATTTCTATCGCATGATAGTTGACGAGGGCTGCGCCATCGTCAATTATCACGCATAGAAATCGAGAGCGAATAACGTAATTGTTTTAGTATAAACCTACTAGTCGTTCAAAACTTCATCTAAATCCTCTTCACAGACACCTCGCAAACGCAAAGAAGCGGCCGTCATTTTGTTAACAAGCGCTCACTGTTACGCCACTCACTATCTACAACAGAATAGATAGTGAGTAGCGCAGCCAATCAGAGAACAGCATTTGTGATAGCACGCACGTAGACTGTTATACTAAAATTTCTTAGAGAATTCTTTCCTTTTTTCAGGGACAAAGCTATGCGACCGGAGTGTATGGCCTACTCTGTACAAAGAAAATAATATTAAAATGACCTTCAGACAATCACGTAGATACAAACGGGTTGTTAGTACCAAATGCGAGGTTAAACTCGGTAAATTGTCCGTCAATGCTTTCATTTCTTCGTACCAAAAGTGACTTAGTTCCTTAACCCGAGCCGAACAAAAACTTTGGAACAAACCACTGATCGTAGAAATATATACAGGACACGTGTTGCATATGAACCTAGTGCGAATCTCTCCGTAGCCTGGTTAGGGTACCCGAACAGTATCTG